TATCCAGCGCCAAAGAACGTCAAACAACTCCGAAGATTTTTGGGTATGGTGGGGTGGTATTCGAGATTTATCCAAAACGATAGCGAAATCAAGATACCTCTTCTTAAATTGCTCAAGAAGAGTCGAGACTGGGAATGGGGCGAGGAGCAACAAGAGGCTTTCGACAAGTTGAAGGACAAACTTCTGACAGCGCCAGTGTTGGCCCGTCCTGACTTTAGTAAGACATTCACCATCCAATGCGATGCGAGTAATTTTGCTATTGGAGCTGTGTTGACTCAGGAGTTTGACGATGGTGAACATCCGGTGATGTATATCAGCCGTGTTCTGACAGGGGCAGAACGGAATTATAGCGTCACGGAGAAGGAGTGTTTAGCGTTGTTGTGGGCGATTTAGAAGTTGCGACCGTATATCGAGGGATACAAGTTTAAGGTGATCACAGATCACAGTGCCTTAAAGTGGCTCAGAAACTTGAAGGACCCGAGTGGTCGACTAGCGAGATGGGCCCTGGAAATGCAGGTGTGGGATTTTGAAATCATTCACAGGAGAGGTGCATTGAACCAAGTCCCAGATGCATTGTCCAGGATGAGTGAGGATGACGAAGAGATGATCGATGCCTTTGATACCATTATGGATCAATGGTACCTTAAGCGACGAGATTTGGTTCGACAATTCCCGGAGCGTTTTCCTGGATGGAAAATTGAGAACGATCATCTTTATCGACATAGGAGTGACCCGTTACTCCTTCCGATTGTTGGCGACGAGGATGGTTGGAAACTGGTGGTACCTGAGGAGTACAGAGAGAGAGTTCTCCACGACGGCCATGGATTGGCGTCGGCAGGTCATTTGGGGGTGGAGAAAACGTACAATCGAGTGGCGAGAGAATATTACTGGCAAGGAATCTGGAATGATGTCCACCAGTATGTCACTCGATGTCCCCAGTGCCAGCTTCACAAAGCATCACAAGCAGGACCGGCAGGACTAATGGGACAGAGGATAGTTGAGCGACCTTGGGCTGTAGTGGCAGCGGACACGATGGAGTTTCCACCAAGCAAGAGTAGGTGTAAATATCTTGTCGTGTTCCAAGATCTTTTCTCGAGGTGGGTTGAGGTGAAACCGTTGCGATCAGCTGATGGAAAGTCGGTGGCCAAAGCATTTGAAGAATTGGTCCTCTTTCGCTGGGAAACCCCTGACTTTTTATTAACAGACAATGGGAAGGAGTTCGACAACAAGTGCCTCAAGGAAACGCTTCAGGAATATGGTGTCAAACACATCACCACACCACCCTACCACCCGCAAGCTAATCCTGTGGAGAGGAGTAATCGGACATTGAAGACCATGATTGGGACTTTCATAGGGAATGATCATCGCGACTGGGATCTTCATGTTCACGAGTTTCGCCATGCTATGAACACTGCGACACAGGTGGCGACTAAAACGTCTCCCGCATTTTTGAATTACGGTAGACATCCTCGACCGGTTAAAAGTTTGCGACGGGAGGTGGAACCACGAGATCAGGTTAATAGAATTGCGCCAGAAGATTGGGTAGACAGGGTAAAGAGGTTGGATGCGTTGCAAGACTTGGTAGCGAAATTTATCGACAAAGAACGTACTCGACAGACCGAGTACTATAACCGTAATCGACGTGAGGGGTTGTTTAACGTGGGTGACTTAGTACTTCGTAAATCACACAAATTGTCGAGTGGTACCAAGAATTTCGCGACAAAACTCGCACCGAAATATGAAGGCCCTTTCGAGATCGTGGAGAAATTATCACCTACGGTTTTTGTCTTAAGCGATAACGAGAGTCGTCGTATTCCTAAAATCCATGTCTCAGACCTTAAACGATACATTCCCCCACCACAGTGGTCCTCAAGCATCGACAGGTTCGACTAAAATGGATCCAAAAATTGACTGAACAAGCTTTTAAAAGACTATTCGTAGATGTAAAAACTGGTTTTCATAAAATCCTAGCTGATCGTTTTCTCGAAAAAACTCAAAATTAAGTTTCACGAAATGTATTTTTAACATTGTATTATATACTGTTCAATAATCAACAATTATATCTTTAATGTTCTTTGGTAAACCATTTTAGTGCACAGTACGTACTCACTAAGCATTAATATATTTGACTTATAGTAAAATAAATACAAAAGCTTGTAGAATAGCTCATTAGATTACTCTTTATAGACGCTAAAACGACTTTGTCTGAAATCAAAACCAATTTTTTTCGAAATATTTCTAAACTGCGTTTTACAATAATTTTTTATATTTTAAGATTACCATTATGCTTAACTTATCATTTAAGCTTTAATTATCTATTTATATTTAAGTTGAAATTCCATTCATTCATTCATTCATATCAATGTATTTGTGCATTAGTTTAGTAACGTTTTGTAACAACTGACTGATTAACTTATTGCTTGTGCTCAAGACCAATTGCTTTTTCTCTATTTTAAAATGAGTTCACATGAGGAGAACCGGAAGAAAATATGTGCACCTTGCGGTCAGAAAATTGCTTTTAGAAAGGTTAAACCAGAAAAGTTTCTTATAAACAAAAAGTTCACTAATTTAATTAAAAAACTTATCAACAATAGTTTTAATTTAAATGATGAGAAATTTTTATTAAGCATTTGTAGAATATGCTATCTTACTTTTCTTGATTACGAAAAAAGTATCTTTAAAAGGCCAATTTAAATTAAAATTATTGTTGATAAATTTTTTAATTACATAAATTAGTTAACTTTTTGTTTATAAGAAACTTTTCTGGTTTAACCTTTCTAAAAGCAATTTTCTGACCGCAAGGTGCACATATTTTCTTCCTGTTCTCCTCATGTGAACTCATTTTAAAATAGAGAAAAAGCAATTGGTCTTGAGCACAAGCAATAAGTTAATCAGTCAGTTGTTACAAAACGTTACTAAACTAATGCACAAATACATTGATATGAATGGATGAATGAATGGAATTTCAACTTAAATATAAATAGATAAATAAAGCTTAAATGATAAGTTAAGCATAATGGTAATCTTAAAATATAAAAAATTATTGTAAAACGCAGTTTAAAAATATTTCGAAAAAAATTGGTTTTGATTTCAGACAAAGTCGTTTTAGCGTCTATAAAGAGTAATCTAATGAGCTATTCTACAAGCTTTTGTATTTATTTTACTATAAGTCAAATATATTAATGCTTAGTGAGTACGTACTGTGCACTAAAATGGTTTACCAAAGAACATTAAAGATATAATTGTTGATTATTGAACAGTATATAATACAATGTTAAAAATACATTTCGTAAAACTTAATTTTGAGTTTTTTCGAGAAAACGATCAGCTAGGATTTTAGAAAAAAAACCAGTTTTTACATCTACGAATAGTCTTTTAAAAGCTTGTTCATTCAATTTTTGGATCCATTTTAGTTGAACCTGTCGATGCTTGAGGACCACTGTGCCACGAGGTCATTAATTTTTACTAATGATAATATAATTTTAGATTCGAGGAGGAATTTCGACAAGGGTAATATGAGGCAAAGGGAACGAGATCAACGACAGAGGCTTCGTCGACGGAGAGACAGAATGTTTTCGACTTGGGTTTGGTGTTTTGGTTAGGCGTTACTGCTGGGAGAAGTAACGGCCTAGGGGAGGGGTGTTTGTGACGAAGTAAATTCATCACAATGTAAGTTTGACTGGGGATGAGTTTCGCGCGTAATAGGGTTTGAGGGATGAGGCAGAGCAGGCGTCCGGGACGTGGCCACCTACGGAACTAGACGGAGACGAAGGGATCGAGAGAGGAGAATCAATAGATTTTTGTCAATGGACGCGTACAGGGGTACTGTGGTCTTCGTTTTTGAGATTATTGTTTGAAGTGTGTAGAGAGAGAAGTTGAAGCGGAGTTCGACTTGATTATAATAAAGAGTTGTGAAGAATAGAAAAGAAGTGTTAATTTGTGTATTTATTAATCAGCCCTTTTTCTCGACGCCGGCGAGTTTTCATCGACCACGAGGACCTGCCGTGAGGAAGCTGTGTGCTGATTTTGTCGTCGTGGGTAAGTCCAATTTTGGTTGTGTCGTGTCTCAAGGGTCGTGTCCCTTTTAGCGACTTTTGTTCTTAACAGAATCTCCTCTGAGAGATTATTGATTGATTTTGAGTTTTGGGGTTATTTCATGATTTTTCTGGTTTGTCAATTCCATTTAAAAATTGGCTGGCGTCTAACAATTATCACGTTGGGTTTTCTTTTGTAACAATTAAAAGGGGTTATTAATTAATAACATTAATTAATTAAATAATTTCGTTATAATACATATTGCTAACAATTCGATTATCGTAGCATATAATCTTTATTTGAGTACAAAATTTAAAGGTCACATTTACTGTGCAATAATAGGTATTATATTATTATAACACCATAATGTTGAAATAGTAATACAGTAACGATTTCAAAAATAACATTATTAATTTTGTGAGATCAAAATTCCGATAACTTTTCGTCAAATAAAAATAAAATTTTAATTTTGCATAAAAAATTACAGATACCACGCGCGTTTACGCGCGTTTCTTTTACCTTGTTAATAAAATAAAGTTTTATCTATAGTATCTACATTTGAAAGATTATTTCAAAATTATAAATTTTAGTGTTGAAAGTCAGAACTAAAAATACCGCCTCAAGTCATTACCATGAGGAATGATAATACAGGTCCACAAAATTTATGATATATCAGAGTGGTTTCCCATGTATTTTTGTGTGCTCAACTCGATTCTATCTTAAAACGGTAAAAATACTTTTCGAAATATATTTAGACGAATTTAAAAGGTCATAGGTAAATCTCACGTGGAATCGCCCATATATATATTTATATATGTCGAAGAACCAGAAGAAGGAGGTGGATGTATCAGGTTGGCTTTCTCCTGAAGTCGAAAAACATAAAGATACATAAAACAGCGTGTTTGAAAAATTTCGATACTACAATGCTTCCTCCGTGAGGAAGAAATAAATAAAATACAACAAAATAAGCTTGGAAGTATTTATTTATATTTTTTAATTTTTGCATTTATACATTGATATTGATGTTCATTTACAATTAATGTACAAAAAAATTTTAACTTTTATTATTTTTCATGGTAATTACATTTTTAATTTTTTTATGAAAATAAAGTAATAGTCTTAAAAAAAGACTTTTAGATTTTTCCATCTGTTTAATTCATGTTATTACGAATAATTGCAACTTCTACGGTTAGTAATATTTAATTATATTTTTTTGTATACTATATTAAAGAAGCGTTAACACACTTTATGCTGAGAGATCGAAAATGACATATTTATCCATTTCTGTTCCAGGGATTATTTCCATGCAAATGTTGAGTACCATCATTGCGAGGAAATGTTGCATATCCTGCATAGGGAATTTGAGAAGAAGCCTGCGGAAAGTTGTACACACCTGAAATAAGAACACGTTTTGTTTAATGAACAGATTCATCATAAAGATTCCTATCAGAATGGCTTAATGCAGAATTGATATAGGAGTACAAGAATTTTTTTATATATTTATTATTATTTATTTTTACTTATACTTTGATAATATCATTAATTTAATATTAAATTCATAAAATTTTTACTCAGAAAGTTAATTCTTGGAATTAAAAAGTTTTATAGAAGAAGTAGTCCAGTCAAATTAATTGAAAAACAAGGCATATCATGTTTCAACTCAGGGCCTTATTTTTTTACTTAAACCCTTAATTTTGGGGTAAAGAAAAATTACCTAATTTTGGTAGTTCGAACTCCTACCGGAAGCAAAAAATTTTTAAGAAATAGGTGCAAAAAAGAACAATATAATAGTTTTCGAGATACAGTCTCTCAAATATGACCCGCTTGAGGTTTAACATAGAATCTCATTTTATTACCTTTGTATGTAAAATCTCAAAAGGGTCAACTTTGCGAGATTGTCTCTCGAAAACTATTGGAGCTATTACATTGTTCTTTTTTGCAAATTGTCAGGATTTTGTCAGCTTTATTTTTCCTGATGGTCGTTTTTTCAAAAAAATCATTTGTTTCAAAGCTATATTGGAAAAACTAACAGATACCGGATTTTGGCAAAAATCTCGAAAAATGGGTTTTTTACGGAAGCTATATCTCGGTCAATTTTTGAGCTACTGGGTTCATCTTTTTATCAAACTACTCAGAATTTTATAGACTTTCTCTTTTATACTAATTATTTTTATGCTAAACAGTTATGGAAGGCGGCGATTTGAAAAAAACTGATTTTTTGTACCTATTTCTTTAAAAAAATTTATTAGGAGTTCGACGTACCAAATTTAGGTAATTTATTTTTACCCCAAAATAAAAAGTTTGAGCAAAAAAATGAGATCCTGAGTTAAAACATCTAAAAATGCTAACTTGACTGGACATTCCTAACTTTCGTATTTTTGTTAATTCTTTTTGAAATGCCTTTCATTTAGCGAAAAAACCATTTTCGGTAATATCCAGCCCCCCTCTCTAACGACCCCCATGTACCTATAGTAGCCGAAAGTTTATACCGTCACATTAGTGATATGATGAAAGAAAAGAAAAAAATATTAAAAGGAAAATCAGTGTACGACACAAAAGGATGTATCGCTGCGATAAAATGGATGGACTCCAAATCAGTCACCTTACTGACTACTGCTCATAATCCTATGAAGATTACTTCATTGAAGAAAAAAAATTAAGATGGCACTAAAAGTTCTATCACTTGTCCAGAAGCGGTCTCAGCTTATAATAATTGTATGGGCGGTGTTGATCCTTTTGATCAACTGAAAGAAAGATTGTCCGTCAATCAAAAAAATGGTGGTTTAGAATATATTTCTTTCTAGTAGATCTGACAATAATAAATGCATACATCCTTTACAAAGTTCACAAAGGTAATACAATCAGCCAACTCGATTTTAGACTTGCCCTTCTAAAACAATTGATTCGAAACTTTTCCAGTAAAAAAGAGGGAGTCTCATTCAGATAAGAGGAAAGAAAAGTATGATACCAGTCGAAGTCCGAACGGAAAATGCAAAACATATGCCAATTAAAATTAATCAAAAAAGACGTTGTCATTTGTGTAGTTTGCAAAAGCAAGAGAAACGAAGTACAATAGTTTTTAAAATTTGCAAAGTTACTTTGTGCATAAAAAATTGCTTTTACAGATTTCATTCCAAATAAAGTTTTATAAGTGACAGAGATGTTTCAAAAAGTAGAATTTTAAAAATAACAAATTAAATACGCCTTTTAAAACTAAAAAAATTAGTACATGAGGCATTTCATATGAGAATATAGGGTCATGTCTCAGATTTTTCTCAAAATTCGGTAAATTGTAGTAATAGTGGTGCTAAATAAGTGTACAAATTTTGAATTTGAAATTTTTAATATTTCTCGAGATATTTACAATAACAAATTTGAGCAATATTTTTTTGCTTTACTTATAACTTTTTTCCTATTAAAAATAGAGAAAAATGTTGTAAGTGTTTTTTACGCGGCAGATCTTAAACTTTTAGAAAAAAATTATTTTTTTAAAAAAATATTAATTTTTAAACAATTTGTTTAAAAAATAAATTTTGTTTAAAACTTTTAACCATGTTCTTCCTTATTTAGAAACGCGAAAAAAATCATGAATATTGTTTAAGTCATAATAAATCGATGGTTAAATTTTTGAGATGGCATTATTTTTTTGTTTCGAGATATTAATTAATTAACAAAAGTTAATAAAAAATGAAATAATTTACGAACAAATAAAATTAGAGTAATTTTAACCTTTAAAGTGCATGGGGGTGTTTGAGACCCAGCCCAATTTTTTAACTCTCGAAAACATTACATAAGGGGTTAAACCACTCTAGAATTTTCAAAAAATCAAAAAATTTTTTTTTGCTTTAAAAGGTGACTAAGGGTGTATAGAATAAGAAACAATATCAATTATAAGTCGAAACACTTTTTAATTTGGAAGGTCAATTATACGGCGCAGGCATTGCAGATTGAAGGTATATCCAAAAAGTCGTAAGTAAAACTTTTAACTCGTTTTTCTCAAAACTACATTTTTTGTGCTGGCCGGAAACATGACTTTTACAAATCTCAACCGATTTACTTAAAAATTAAACTGTAGCTTCTCAATAACATTATCTAGAGAAGGACGTACGGATTTTTTTTATGTTGTATATTTTTTTTGTTATAAACAATTTAGTGTCAATTTTTTAAGTAAAAAACTCTGTTTTTCCTTAAAATGTTCGCCATTTTTGCAAAAATCAATTGAAAAAAAATCCCCTACGTCTTTCTCTAGCTTTTAAGATGTAAAAATAGAAAGAAATTTGTTTTTTGTTCTAGTATGAAAATTGGAGCTAAAACCTTTCCGGCCGCGACGTGATTCCTCTCAGAAAGGGTTCCTATCACGTACCTGTAAATTTGATATTTAAAAAAAAATAATTAATGAAGTATATTTTTTTTCTCTTTAAAGTGTACCTAATAAAGATATGTAAACATATTTTTCAGTACATTTAAACTTTTCTTGAAAAAAATTTCTAAAGTTAGGCCTTTTTTTGACGCTCTAGAGTGGTTTAACCCCTTAATCGAAGTGCCTATTTCTACGCTAACGTAAGCTGATATTTAAAAACTAAACCTACGCGAAGTGACAGCGAAATGAAAGATTAACGTAAACCGATCTCCTAAAACTAAACCTACGCGAAATGAAAAAAGTTTCGAAAAGTGACACCCGTGGCGTAAGTTTCACTTTTCACTCATCGTAAAAAACGCAAAATTTCGAAAAAAGTTTTAGACAAAAGTTGTAGACCTCAAAAAAACACATTTTATATTTTATGCATTTTTTTCCAAAAGTCATTATTTTTCGAGAAAAATCCAAAAAACCCAAAACACCATGATAATGAAAACATATACAACAGTCATGGTTAGACATATTATTTGACTTGTATATAGTATCATATTCACCATTACTCAGGATCCAACGAATTTCGCAAAATACTTTCGGCCATATCCACCCCCTCTCGCCAAGGTTTTTTTAAAAAGAAAAGCGAGCAGTACCTTACGTGGCCGAAGGCCGTGTTTACTATTTTGCATTCACCGCTGCTGTGAATTCCATCCCACAATTTCCGCAAAACATAAAATGTATGTTTTTTGAGATCTATAACTTTTATCTAAAATTTTTTTCGAAATTTTGCGTTTTTTACGAGATAATCACAAAAAACCATAATTTTATGGTGTTTACCATGATAATCAAATTTGCGCCAATTTTCACTATCATTTTCGTAATCAGCGCACCAAGTATACCAAGTTTTATTAAAATCGGAGGTACCCCTACTTCGGAAGTATATCCATGGTTTTTAATTATCTACTTTGCAGTAAAAAATCATAAAAAACATTTTTGAAGGATGCAAAACCTCACTTTTCACACATGTTTTTTACTACGCTAGTGTAATGATGAAGTGTACACTTCGCGTAACTATAGTTTTGGAAATCAGTTTACGTTAGCGTAGGTATAGAGCCAGCGTTACTTAATTCGAAAAAATCGGATATGTGACGCCATCTACCTTTTGTTAAGAGCCCTAACTGCAAGTAAAGTAGGTTACTATATTTTGGCGAGCGCCGGTATATCGGTAGCAGCTGCTTGAAGTGGACGTTTAGAAATTCGCGGGTGCTCAACACTCTCCGTGCACGTTGTGGGTGTAAAGTATTTTTTGGAAAATTTTTTTTTGTCGTTAGTAAAACTAATTCGTGCTCTTTTAACGTAAGTACATCTCTAAAAGTGAGAAAAAATTTTATTTTCATTATTTAACACCACCTTGCACTGCAGATGGCGTGAATCGTTACTCAACACGTTGTACGAGGAAGAAAATTTTGGAGGAAAGGAAGGTGACGACGAAGAAGTTACTTCTGATTTGGAGCATTCAGATGACGGAGATGGGGAACATGACTCTGACTTTAAACCAAGTGACGACGAAGTTGACGACGATTTACAAGGGTCTTCGAAAAGAGTGCTCAGCAAAGAAGACGCACTGTACGACGTTCCTCTTTCCAAAAGATTTAAAACGGCTGGAAGGCCTATTACTAAGTTATATGGTTTATGCAAGGAATGTGCGTGCCTGGAATGACCCGAAATACTTTTTTTTTTAAATTAAACATTCTTGACAACTTTTTTCACTTATAATTAGTGCGATGTTAAAAGTTTATGTCTTACTTTTTTACCTAAAACTTGGCATTTCAGATGTGCAAATAAATACCTTTTTTGAAACCACTCTTATTCTAGTTTTTTTTCTGAAAGCATAGTATTTTATGAAAACACATACCAATTTTTAACCGAAAATTTTTAAAATTACGTGAGATTTGATTTTTTAAATAAAAATGTCGCTTTTTCCCGTTACTTTTTTTTAACAATTTTTTTCATATAATTAAAGTGAATAAATGATTAAAGTG